TCCGGGAGCATCCCAGACGCTTTTGTGATTTGTGTGTGTGTGAAGATAAGGAGGTGCCTTTGGTCTAGAGGTGGAGTTGTGTTGACGTGGTCCCCCTCCCAGGCTGTGTTGACGGTGGTCCCCTCCCAGGCTGTGTTGACGGTGGCCCCCTCCCAGGCTGTGTTGACGGTGGCCCCCTCCCAGGCTGTGTTGACGGTGGCCCCCTCCCAGGCTGTGTTGACGGTGTCCCCCTCCCCGGCTGTGTTGACGGTGGTCCCCCTCCCAGGCTGTGTTGACGGTGTCCACCCTCCCAGGCTGTGTTGACGGTGGTCCCCCTCCCAGGCTGTGTTGACGGTGGTCCCCCTCCCAGGCTGTGTTGACGGTGGTCCCCTCCCAGGCTGTGTTGACGGTGGTCCCCTCCCAGGCTGTGTTGACGGTGGTCCCCCTCCCAGGCTGTGTTGACGGTGGTCCCCCTCCCAGGCTGTGTTGACGGTGGTCCCCTCCCAGGCTGTGTTGACGGTGGTCCCCTCCCAGGCTGTGTTGACGGTGGTCCCCCTCCCAGGCTGTGTTGACGGTGGTCCCCTCCCAGGCTGTGTTGACGGTGGCCCTCCCAGGCTGTGTTGACGGTGGCCCCCTCCCAGGCTGTGTTGACGGTGGCCCCCTCCCCGGCTGTGTTGACGGTGGTCCCCCTCCCAGGCTGTGTTGACGGTGTCCACCCTCCCAGGCTGTGTTGACGGTGGTCCCCCTCCCAGGCTGTGTTGACGGTGGTCCCCCTACCAGGCTGTGTTGACGGTGGCCCCCTCCCAGGCTGTGTTGACGGTGACCCCCTCCCAGGCTGTGTTGACGGTGGTTCCCTCCCAGGCTGTGTTGACGGTGGCCCCCTCCCAGGCTGTGTTGACGGTGGCCCCCTCCCAGGCTGTGTTGACGGGGGCCCCCTCCCAGGCTGTGTTGACGGTGGTCCCCTCCCAGGCTGTGTTGACGGGGGCCCCCTCCCAGGCTGTGTTGACGGTGGTCCCCTCCCAGGCTGTGTTGACGGGGGCCCCCTCCCAGGCTGTGTTGACGGGGGCCCCCTCCCAGTCTTTTCAATTTCTCAAATATAAATCAACATTTTATATTGGAATTTAATACATAGTTTGGCCTAACGTTATGTGTTTAGGCTGTGATGGCAATTATTTGCGCTTCATTCAGCCCGTCCATAGGCTATATGTTCATTCCATCCAGCGGCCGACCCCAAAGACGTAATGAACAATGTTAATATGTAGGTCAGTCAAAATAAGAATTTGTTAAAGTATAAATTGAAAATATTTTTTATATATTAGCATATTGTGCATACTTAGGCATCGGTTAGAGTAGGTGATCAGATTCTGATGGCAACTATTTATATTGGTAGTACGTGGGTGAAGCATTTGCTGCAACCCGTCCTCGACTCAAGTCCATTACATCCAGCGGTCGACCCCACAGACGCATTCATAAATTTTAATATGCTGTTCATTCAAAACGGGAATTTTCTCAAGTATAAATTAATATTATAATATATTAGCATAATGTACATATATAGGCATAGGTTAGGTTAGGTTAGGTTAGGTTAGGTTAGGTGTTTAAGTTCTGTTGGCGATTATTTGTATTTGTAGTACGTGGGTGAAGCATTTATAGCGTTGTGATTCGAAGAAAATTCGTCAGTGAAGCACTTGTTCCGGATATGTTCGAACGTCAGCAGTTGTGAGTCGTGTGTAAACCGCTTTTCATTCATAAACAGGGGGTTTGGCGGGTGCATGGAATCACTTTTGGATCTTTGTTTGGAGGACGGGCTGTTTACAGTGTGGTGGTTCGAACAAAATTCGTCAGTGAAGCACTTGTTCCGGAAGTGTTCGAACGTCATTAATTGAGAGTCGTGTGTAAACCGTTTTTCATTCATAAACAGCTGGGGGGAGGGGGGGTTGGCGGGTGCATGGAATCACTTTTGGGTCTTTGTTTGGAAGACGGGCTGTTTATAAGAGATGCGATTCGAACAGAGGTCGTCGACCAAGCACTGTTCGAGAAATGTTCGAACGTCATTAGTTGAGAGACAACGTAAGGTGTTGTTCCTTCATAAACAAGGGCTTTAGTGGTTAGATGAACGAGCAATTGGCCGCCGATGATGAGGACGAGCTGAGAAGCGAAGTAGCGTGACTTGCACGTCAACGTAAGAGACCGCTAAGGCGCAAGTAGGGGGATCAAACCCGCGTCCTGTGTACTCTCAGATGCGCCTCGACGCCCCGAGCCCCGTCTTGATCCAAAGATTTTTTGTGGATATAATACATGGCTGTGATTGTCTTGTGTATTATGGGACTAACCACCACCCCTGCCACCCTCCCACCCACAGAACACCACCACCCTGCCACCCTCCCACCCACAGAACACCCCCCCCCTGCCAGTCACCCACCCACAGAACACCCCCCCCCTTCCCCTGCCAGCCTCCCACCCACAGAACACCACCACCCTGCCACCCTCCCACCCACAGAACACCCCCCCCTGCCAGTCACCCACCCACAGAACACCCCCCCCCTTCCCCTGCCAGCCTCCCACCCACAGAACACCACCACCCTGCCACCCTCCCACCCACAGAACACCCCCCCCTGCCAGTCACCCACCCACAGAACACCCCCCCCTTCCCCTGCCAGCCTCCCACCCACAGAACACCACCACCCTGCCACCCTCCCACCCACAGAACACCCCGTCCCCCTCTCCCACCCACAGAACACCACCCCCCCTCCCACCCACAGAACACCCCGCCCCCCCCTCCCACCCACAGAACACCACCCCCCCCCTCCCACCCACAGAACACCACCCCCCCTCCCACCCACAGAACACCCCGCCCTCCCCCCCCCCTCCCACCCACAGAACACCCCGCCCTCCCCCCCCTCCCACCCACAGAACACCCCGCCCTCCCCCCCCCCCTCCCACCCACAGAACACCCCGCCCTCCCCCCCCCTCCCACCCACAGAACACCCCGCCCTCCCCCCCCCTCCCACCCACAGAACACCCCGCCCTCCCCCCCCCCCTCCCACCCACAGAACACCCCGCCCTCCCCCCCCCCTGCCACCCACAGAACACCCCGCCCTCCCCCCCCCTCCCACCCACAGAACACCCCGCCCTCCCCCCCCTCCCACCCACAGAACACCCCGCCCTCCCCCCTTCCCACCCACAGAACACCCCGCCCTCCCCCCCCCCCTCCCACCCACAGAACACCCCGCCCTCCCCCCCCCCCTCCCACCCACAGAACACCCCGCCCTCCCCCCCCCCTCCCACCCACAGAACACCCCGCCCTCCCCCCCCCCCCCACCCACAGAACACCCCGCCCTCCCCCCCCCCCCCTCCCACCCACAGAACACCCCGCCCTCCCCCCCCTCCCACCCACAGAACACCCCGCCCCCCCCCCCCCACCCACAGAACACCACCCCTCCCACCCACAGAACACCCCGCCCCCCCCCTCCCACCCACAGAACACCACCCCTCCCACCCACAGAACACCACCCCTCCCACCCACAGAACACCCCGCCCCCCCCTCCCACCCACAGAACACCACCCCTCCCACCCACAGAACACCCCGCCCCCCCCTCCCACCCACAGAACACCCCGCCCTCCCCCCCCCCTCCCACCCACAGAACACCCCGCCCCCCCCCCTCCCCCACCACAGAACACCACCCCTCCCACCCACAGAACACCCCGCCCCCCCCTCCCACCCACAGAACACCACCCCTCCCACCCACAGAACACCCCGCCCCCCCCTCCCACCCACAGAACACCCCGCCCTCCCCCCCCCCCCCTCCCACCCACAGAACACCACCCCTCCCACCCACAGAACACCCCGCCCCCCCCCCCCCTCCCACCCACAGAACACCACCCCTCCCACCCACAGAACACCCCGCCCTCCCCCCCCTCCCACCCACAGAACACCCCCCCCCTTCCCACCCACAGAACACCCCGCCCCCCCCCTCCCACCCACAGAACAACACCCCTCCCACCCACAGAACACCCCGCCCTCCCCCCCCCTCCCACCCACAGAACACCCCCCCCCTCCCACCCACAGAACACCCCCCCCCCTCCCACCCACAGAACACCCCGCCCCCCCCCCCTCCCACCCACAGAACAACACCGTGCATGTTTTTGTTTTGCTAATCTAAAAACAAATACAATAAGAGTTGGCGTGTGTGAGTTTTGTTTGTGTAAGAAATATCAACCTGGCTCCCCCCCCCCTGCTTGTTTAAGCCAGCGTCGTGCATTGACCCGTCCACCGACACTTGGGTCCTCTAAGACTCTGCTGCCTCTGTGGGGGCGCTTCCTGGAGGGATGAATCCCCTTCTTCCCTCTCTCTGTCTGCTTGTGGCTCCTCGTGAGCTAATCCATGCCCTCTCTGTCTACTTGTGGCTCCTCGTGAGCTAATCCATGCCCTCTCTGTCTACTTGTGGCTCTTCTTGAGCTAATCCATGCCCTCTCTGTCTACTTGTGGCTCTTCTTGAGCTAATCCATGCCCTCTCTGTCTACTTGTGGCTCTTCGTGAGCTAATCCATGCCATCTCTGTCTACTTGTGGCTCTTCTTGAGCTAATCCATGCCCTCTCTGTCTACTTGTGGCTCTTCTTGAGCTAATCCATGCCCTCTCTGTCTACTTGTGGCTCTTCTTGAGCTAATCCATGCCCTCTCTGTCTACTTGTGGCTCTTCTTGAGCTAATCCATGCCCTCTCTGTCTACTTGTGGCTCTTCGTGAGCTAATCCATGCCATCTCTGTCTACTTGTGGCTCTTCTTGAGCTAATCCATGCCCTCTCTGTCTACTTGTGGCTCTTCTTGAGCTAATCCATGCCCTCTCTGTCTACTTGTGGCTCTTCGTGAGCTAATCCATGCCCTCTCTGTCTGCTTGTGGCTCCTCGTGAGCTAATCCATGCCCTCTCTGTCTACTTGTGGCTCTTCGTGAGCTAATCCATGCCCTCTCTGTCTACTTGTGGCTCTTCGTGAGCTAATCCATGCCCTCTTCTGCCATTTCAGGAACGCGTGGGCGGGCACCCGTCCAGCCTGGGGCCAATCACGAGCATCGGGGGCGTGGGCGGGTCGGCGTCGTTCGCTTCAGCGCCCAGGATACACACGCCCACCACCGACTTCCAGCCGCCCTACTTCCCGCCTCCCTACCTGGGCACCGAGAACCAAATGACGGTGAGAGCCTCGTCAGGTGGGGACACGCTGCTGCGGGGGGTAACACACACACACACACACACACACACACACTCACACTCACACACACACACACACACACACACACACTCACACTCACACACACACGCACTTACACACACACACATACACACTCACACACACTCACACTCACACACCCACGCACTTACACACACGGAGTATATTTTATCTTGAAGTTTTTAATGGTATGGAGATATATTCCAAAACGAAGAAAATTAGTGTGTTGTGGAGGTGGTGCACAGAGTTCTGTCTGTGGTCCACAGAACACACCAGTACACCACCCTTGTGGCTGTGGTCCACAGAATACACCACCCTTGTGACTGTGGTCCACAGAACACACCACCCTTGTGACTGTGGTCCACAGAACACACCACCCTTGTGACGGTGGTCCACAGAACACACCACCCTTGTGACTGTGGCCCACAGAACACACCACCCTTGTGACTGTGGCCCACAGAACACACCACCCTTGGGACTGTGGCCCACAGAACACACCACCCTTGTGGCTGTGGTCCACAGAACACACCACCCTTGGGACTGTGGTCCACAGAACACACCACCCTTGTGACTGTGGTCCACAGAATACACCACCCTTGTGACTGTGGTCCACAGAACACACCACCCTTGGGACTGTGGTCCACAGAACACACCACCCTTGTGACTGTGGTCCACAGAACACACCACCCTTGGGACTGTGGCCCACAGAACACACCACCCTTGTGGCTGTGGTCCACAGAACACACCACCCTTGGGACTGTGGTCCACAGAACACACCACCCTTGTGACTGTGGTCCACAGAACACACCACCCTTGTGACTGTGGTCCACAGAACACACCACCCTTGGGACTGTGGTCCACAGAACACACCACCCTTGGGACTGTGGCCCACAGAACACACCACCCTTGTGACTGTGGTCCACAGAACACACCACCCTTGGGACTGTGGCCCACAGAACACACCACCCTTGTGACTGTGGCTCACAGAACACACCACCCTTGTGGCTGTGGTCCATAGAACACACTACCCTTGTGGCTGTGGTCCACAGAACACACCACCCTTGGGACTGTGGTCCACAGAACACACCACCCTTGTGGCTGTGGTCCACAGAACACACCACCCTTGTGACTGTGGTCCACAGAACACACCACCCTTGGGACTGTGGTCCACAGAACACACCACCCTTGTGGCTGTGGTCCACAGAACACACCACCCTTGGGACTGTGGTCCACAGAACACACCACCCTTGTGACTGTGGTCCACAGAACACACCACCCTTGTGACTGTGGTCCACAGAACACACCACCCTTGTGACTGTGGTCCACAGAACACACCACCCTTGTGACTGTGGTCCACAGAACACACCACCCTTGTGACTGTGGTCCACAGAACACACCACCCTTGTGACTGTGGTCCACAGAACACACCTGTACCTCTACACCAAAGCTGGATTTATCATCCAGAAAATTACTGTATAAGACTTCTCCATAGTAACACAAGGCTGAACTGTTAATTAAAATGTTTCTCCTATGGTACAGACGACTGACTCGTAGATCTTCCTGATTCTAGGAGTTTACTCCCTCTAACAATCGTCAGGACATGTCATTAATGTCAGTAATGATGTCATTAATCTTGTGAAGGATCGGTGTGACCGGAAACTAACTTTCCGAACGATCAATTATTTACATGTTCTTCGCTAGCTGGAAGCGAGTCTCTCCGGGGCCCAGGAGCTAGTCACTGAGCTTCACTGGTGGCCCGGGGGGGGAGGGGGAAGAGGGCATATTTATCGTTTACATTTCCAAACTAAACATGATGCCTGTTCAACCCTCGTTTTTCCCTGTAATTAGAGGTTTATTCTCAAATTTATTGCGAGTTTAGGTATTTTCTACGGATGAAGCTCATTGTTTTATCTTAGTGTTGAGAACTGTTTCCCGCGCTGACTCGTAGAGTCTTCCGCCTCTCTAGCACAATATGTAGTCAAAATATGTAACCAGGCGTGCCAACCAGGTATGGTAACCAGGCGTGCCAACCAGGTATGGTAACCAGGCGTGCCAACCAGGTATGGTAACCAGGCGTGCCAACCAGGTATGGTAACCAGGCGTGCCAACCAGGTGTGGTAACCAGGCGTGCCAACCAGGTATGGTAACCAGGCGTGCCAACCAGGTATGGTAACCAGGCGTGCCAACCAGGTATGGTAACCAGGCGTGCCAACCAGGTGTGGTAACCAGGCGTGCCAACCAGGTGTAGTAACCAGGTGTGCCAACTATTACTGAACAATAACGGACATATTGTTGTGATGACATTACAGAATTATGTGCCATATATAATAGTGATGATCTGATGCTAGTTATAATAAGGGAAATAATCGCAGTGTTGGTTATGGTGGTGATGGCATCCTCATGTTGAGTATACACGGGCTCCCTCAACACGAATGGGGGTACGAGACTGCGTTAGAGAGCACGGCAGCAATATTGTAACTAATATAGTATCCTATCCAGACTGACGAGTTCTCGTCTGGCATCAGATGGAAGGATGTCATGCAGGTGATGAGTCACAATAACGTGGCTGAAGCATGTTGACCACACCACACACACACTAGAAAGTGAAGGGACGACGACGTTTCGGTCCGTCCTGGACCATTCTCAAGTCGATTGTGAATCTAGTCGATGCTCAATCGACTTGAGAATGGTCCAGGACGGACCGAAACGTCGTCGTCCCTTCACTTTCTAGTGTGTGGTCTGGTCAACAAGGATCTCATGGTTCTTAGTGCTTTACTAAGTGGCATTTACTTTATAATATGGTAGTCATAACAGAGTCAAGGTGTACGAAATAATGTATTTTTTATTTGCAGATTTCTATGTGATTGATTTTTTTAATGACCTAGGTTAGGGGTGGGTAACCCTTGGCGTGCGTGCCACCTTTGGCACGTGTGCCAAAGGTTGCTTAACCCCCTGACGTGGTATATGTTTGATTCTGGCAATATAACTGTTTTTGTCCACAATGCATACTTCTTGACCCCGAGTGTGTAAGGTTTGAATATAGTTTGGGTTGTGACTAACGCTGTGGTATTGTTAACAACATGGCGTAAGTCACTTCTTAATGCTGTCAGCCACATGATGTTTATGTGGTCTCATACATTATGTCTATCACATAGTTGTTGTCCTGTATCCAGCCCCCCCCAACCTCACCCCTTACCACCCCACACCACTCCCCCACCTCACCCCTTACCCGCCCACACCACCCCCCACCTCACCCCTTACCCGCCCACACCACCCCCCACCTCACCCCTTACCCACCCACACCACCCCCCACCTCACCCCTTACCCACCCACACCACCCCCCACCTCACCCCTTACCCGCCCACACCACCCCCCACCTCACCCCTTACCCGCCCACACCACCCCCAACCTCACCCCTCACCCGCCCACACCACCCCCCACCTCACCCCTTACCCGCCCACACCACCCCCACCTCACCCCTTACCCGCCCACACCACCCCCCACCTCACCCCTCACCCGCCCACACCACCCCCCACCTCACCCCTCACCCCCCCCACTCCCCAGTAATAACTCGGCTCTCAGTCCTGGTCCCTCTCCCCCTTCATTAATACACATTACCTTGCCACACCTGCTGGTCCTTCCCGCCGCCTCCTCTTGTACATGTGTCGTCATTATTAGTAATGAGAGAGTGCTCTCCGCCTAAATATCCCCCCCACCCCAACAACCCCCCCCCCTACACCCTCCCTTCTCCCCCCCCCCCCTCTATCTCTCCTTAGTGAATATCTGGTTGTAATCCTCTCAAGAGAGCGGCTGAGTGACTTCCCTATACCTGTCACTACACTCACTCCCCCCCCTGTCTCCCACGATAGCCATAACCCTGTAGTATGATATCGTTGTGGACTCCGCAGTATCATATATATATATATATAACCCTTAACGTCATCGCTTTTCTCTATATGTATGCTACAATGGTGTCTGAACAGGCGAACTAAGAGAGGTTTTGTGTGTTGTGTTGCAGACACACCACCCGTCCGCCGACCCCTACCAGCTACACTCTCTGCCCGCCAACTACACCACCTACACCTCGGCCACACTCCAGAACAGACACGAGGTGCCCCGGAGGGAGGACCCGCTCCATGTCGTAAGTAGTTTGAGGACCCGTGACCGGCTCCACCTCTCTCTCACCTTCTGTACTGGGGGATGGTAGGGTCTCCTGACGGTGTTGTCACGTAGAGGGTGGGTCACTACGGGCTGGAGGTGGGTCACCAGGAGAAGGGAGTGGGTCATTAGGGGCTGGGAGTGGGTCACTAAGGGATGGGGGTGGGTCATTACGGGCTGAAGGTGTCACCACAGAGATAAACATTTCTCACCTTACAAAACTATGTAAACGTATTGTCAAAGAACTCATAGACCAAAAATTAAAATATATATATATATATATATATATATATATATATATATATATATATATATTAATTTATAATATATATATATATATATTAATTTATAATATATATATGCAACAACGATCAACAATGATCCAGGTATGCGAAAAAAACCACATTTGAAGAATTAGAGAATGCTGAACGCGTTTTCGGCTCAATTCGCCTTCACCCAAGCAAGATATAGTCTCTATCTTGCTCTGATGAAGGCGAACTGAGCCGAAAACGCGTGTTCGACACACTCTTAATTCTTCACAGTGTGGATTTCCGCATATATATCCGTACGTGTGTATGTATGTATGTATGTACGCATGTGTGCGTGTATATATATATGTTCTGGTCCACCCCTGGTGCCACACCACCCCTGACTAACCTCCTCACCGCGGGCATGGGTCTTACAGAGCGGCCAGGTCGGTCTGTACGACAGGAGCTACGCCAGCGTGGACCGGGCGGGCGCCGTCCTCATGGGCACGGCCAGACACGAGGACATTATCCTCAGCAACACTATACATCCTCACGCCATAGAAGAGCCGGTGAGTACTATCCCCACCAAAAATAACTGCTGTTTTATTTCTATACTGTTTGTTTTATTGTGTGTGTGTGTGTGTTCTCGGTATGCAGAGAAAGGCTATGTTTGTTTTGCTGTACTGGAGGACATATATAAAAGAGGGTTTTGGTACTTTTCTGTTTGAATTGATTTTTAATTTTCGTTTGGGAATTGTGGGAATGTAAGGAGCTTGGTGATTGTTATTGAGTGTGATTGTGTGAAAGTGATGGTGGAGGGCAGCCTTACAGCTGCCCTCCTGCGGCTGCTGGTCGGCAGCGTTGGGAGGTAGCAAACCTTCAGATGTCTTCTTTTGCGGCTAAGTAACATGTTATGTCTTGGAAAATCATTTTGAGGCAATGGAGTGACTTGAACTCGCGACCTGGTGATTGCCAGACCTGGTGATGGTTATCTTGAGGTTGTCTTGAGATGATTTCGGGGCTTAGTGTCCCCGCGGCCCGGTCCTCGACCAGGGCTCCACCCCCAGGACGCAGCCCGTAGCAGCTGTCTAACTCCCACACATACTCCCATATTTACTGCTAGGTAACAGGGACATCAGGGTGAAATAAAACTTTTGCCCATTTGTTTCCGCCTCCACCGGGGATCGAACCCGGAACCTCAGGACTACGAATCCGAAGCGCTGTCCACCCAGCTGTCAAGGCGTGACTACACACACAGAGAGATAGATCACACTAATCCACGTGTGATTTCTCGTGGATGTGAAAAATCCCCACTGTGTGCTGGGTACACCTAGCACATAGGTTCGAATCCCCCCATCACAGCTCCTATGGATATTCTCAGGGCGTGTCTCGTCATCTACAGAAGGAGCAAGGATCTTTTCTTCAAGGAGAGAGGGACTTAACTTCTGCAGGGGACAGAGGATATTTTTTTTCTTTTTTAGCATTGTAGGGAGACGAACTTTTGGGTTACAAAGGAAAAAACTTTTTTTTTTAAGTTGAATCTCGGAGTTGGAGAATATTTCAAATCGACATATATATATAATATGCGAACAAGCCTGAATGGTCCCCAGGACAATATGCAACTGAAAACTCACACTTCTCTTGTGTGAAGTGACTTCTCTTCGAGTCACTTCTGGGGTGTGAGTTTTCAGTTATATATATAATATATTTAAATGAAATCACAATTTTGTGATGTATCAATGAAAATATATTTTTGTGGCAATGGGGTGACTTGAACTGGCGTCCTGTTGAGATTCCATTAGACGTAGCAGTAGAAAGGAAGTCTGTGGGTGTAGTGGGTCCGTGGGTGTAGTGGGTCCGTGGGTGTAGTGGGTCCGTGGGTGTAGTGGGTCCGTGGGTGTAGTGGGTCCGTGGGTGTAGTGGGTCCGTGGGTGTAGTGGGTCCGTGGGTGTAGTGGGTCCGTGGGTGTAGTGGGTCCGCGGGTGTAGTGGGTCCGTGGGTGTAGTGGGTCCGTGGGTGTAGTGGGTCCGTGGGTGTAGTGGGTCCGTGGGTGTAGTGGGTCCGTGGGTGTAGTGGGTCCGCGGGTGTAGTGGGTCCGTGGGTGTAGTGGGTGTAGTGGGTCCGTGGGGGGGTGTAGTGGGTCCGTGGGTGTAGTGGGTCCGTGGGTGTAGTGGGTCCGTGGGTGTAGTGGGTCCAGCTGAACAGTACACCAACCCTCGGGTCGTCTCTCCTGTCTATGAGAGTCGAACTGGCCGGGTGTGTCACTTTTATCCAGGCCGCTTGATAAGTCTTTAAGTACACTTAAAATCTGAAGTCTTTTGTACACACTTTAATAAACCCTTAATTATTTCGCTTACGGCTGGCTCAATGTTATTTAAATAATATAAAGCATTTTGTGGCTCTGGCTGTAAAGTAGCCGGATAGTAAAGTAGCCGGATAGTAAAGTAGCCGGATAGTAAAGTAGCCGGATAGTAAAGTAGCCGGATAGTAAAGTATATATTTACTACATGGGACAAACTATATTGATGGGAGGGGGGGGGGAGATTAGCGCAAAGAAATGGAGATTATATATATAGAATAGAGACCGGGCCGCATTCCTTCATAGGAAGTTACACCAAACTCTCTAATTTAGAGCATTCCTGCGCCATTACCTCGCATCAAATTCCACGTCAGAGGGGGAAAAAAATGCTACTGTAATTAAAAATTCCATCCGCTGCAGGCATGGGTGTAGTAAATGATGCACATCGTACGCTGGCGGCGACTACTATCGTATCGTCGCGTGTCGTACTACGCTCCCGCTCCTCATTGTTTCAACCACTGAATCAATATTGTTGATTCATTGATAAAAATCACATCGGGGTGGTTGTAATGAAGGAAGGGGGGGGAGTGAGGGGGGACAAAGGGGGTGGTGCCCCTGGCGGGCCTTTGTGTGGTGTTGGAAAGTGTGTGTGTGTGTGTAGTGGCGACGTTTATCATAGTGGCGGTGTCGGGGAGCCTCTCTCACACGTTTAACACGCTATTCTCTCTTCTTTTTTCTACCATATTTCACTGGTAAGGTAGAACCAGAGAGGTAGACTGCGGCAGCCGGTTGTGGGAGGGAATTGTGGTTGGTTACTACGAGAGTTCCTGGCAGGGACGAGGTATAGCAGAGGGTTTGGTGGTGGTGGCAGGGACGAGAGGGGGTGGTGGTGGTGGCAGGGACGAGGTATAGCAGAGGGGGTTGGTGGTGGTGGCAGGGACGAGAGGGGGTGGTGGTGGTGGCAGGGACGAGGTATAGCAGAGGGGGTTGGTGGTGGTGGCAGGGACGAGAGGGGTGGTGGTGGTGGTGGTGGCAGGGGACGAGAGGGGGGGTGGTGGTGGTGGTGGCAGGGGACGAGAGGGGGTGGTGGTGGTGGTGGTGGCAGGGACGAGAGGGGGTGGTGGTGGCAGGGACAGGGACGAGAGGCAGGGCATATTAAGGTGATGGGTGGTGGGGAAGATATGGCCTCTGTTCCAGCGGGAGACGTCGCTCTTTCCTGTCGATATCTATCCCGCAACTGGTAAAGATGTCGCAAGTAATATTTTTTTTTCTTGTAACTGGAGGGAACGATGGTGTTGATAGAGTAGCTCAGTGATACGGCTGACATGTGGCTGTGTAGTCTGCTTATTTGTGCCTACACCATCAGCCTTTAGCTCCTGGACCCACAGCCCTTCCAGCCTCAGGTTGTCTAATGCCATGACTCCTAACTCATTTTTTTTATTATATTTACTTTGATATTACGAATGGAACTGTGTTTTACAACCTGGCTATTTAGTTTGTTTAATTTCACTACTATTGCTATGCTAATTATATATTCATTCTATTCATGTCTATTCATGTGTTCTTGTCCTATTGGTATTCATTGTGAACATTTCCTCTTTTTCCACCCTCATCAATTCCATTAATTATTTATGTCTCAATCATGTCTCCTCTGTTTTTTTCTAGTCTAGCCGTATTAGGCTAGATCTTTCAGTCTTTTTTCCTTGCCTATCTCCCTCGTTTGGTGCCTTCTTTTGATAATTATGTATATTTCCATCTCTCGTAATTCTTGGACGAGTCTCGTTGTCAGTCGCTGTGGGGTTTCAATTTCTTTTTTTCTGCCTTTTAAGATGGGGACTCCACGATGGGGGCTGCATACTCTAGTACTGGTCTCACGTCAGTGTTTAGTGATCTGAATGCTTGCTTATTTAGATTTTGAATGCTGTTCCGACCTTTCGGGACGGTCAGGACCTAAGGCGTCTGAGAGGCGCGACCTCGGAGAGTGCTCAACTCTCCGCAAGCACAACTAGGTGAGTACAGGGAGGGTTTGGTCTATGTCAGTAGCGGATATCTGAAGGGCAGATAGCACACACGACCCCATCGTCAGTGATAAGCTGTACTACGGTCATATCTCGCTACCAAAGGCGTTCGCGTGGGACCGTTTGTCCTGGAAACAAACCGAAACACATTATTTTCTCTATTCTCTATAAAAAGAAGTCTCTATTTTCCGCTTGTTACAACTTGTAATAAAGTTGTTACATCTTGGCTTAACGTGATTATGACGTATTGGAACGTTATTACAACTTGCTATATTGGTTGTTATAACTGGTTAGGCGTTAAAACTTGTTCGAACGTTGTACCAACGTCGTAGTTTCGGTGTGTGTTTAGCGGGTGGAGAGTTAGAGTGGGTGTGATTTATACAGAGGAGGATCTGAGATTCAGAGTTACCGGGCTATTCATGCCCGTACCACCTCTTGGGTGCCTTAATCTTCATCAATCAATCAATCGGATTCAAAGTTCAGTTGGTTCTGAGTGGTGGCGGAACTCAGGGTGAAGAAGATCAGAGGTCTAAGCTAGAAGAGGAGGTCACTCCTTGCTCCTGGATGGTTTAATCTTATTAACCATCCAGATTGTAATTGATTGTAGAGATATCTTTAACACCATGGTCATTTCTCTCTCCTTCCCCCTGTTAGTGGCTTGAGCATTTTCCGCTGTGAGGGAGGCGGACTTTTTCTAGTCCTTATGAGGTTACAAAACACAGTTATTACAGGCTTAGGCTTACAAATTAATAGCAAACATTACAGTGGTAGAAAAAGTGTTACAATGCCTAGAGGGTATTGTAACTTATCCCGTTGTTCAATTGCCATTTTCGCATTGTGGAAATTGGCCTCTTATTTTGATAGGAATATTTCGGTTTAAGATATAATGAAAGTTTAATCATAATGAACACTTGAACACCAAGACCTTGAGTAACATATTGTAATCCTTCTTGAGGTTATCTTGAGATGATTTCGGGGCTTTAGTGTCCCCGCGGCCCGGTCCTCGACCAGGCCTCCACCCCCAGGAAGCAGCCCGTGACAGCTGACAAACTCCTAGGTACCTATTTACTGCTAGGTAACAGGGGCATAGGGTGAAAGAAACTGCCCATTGTTTCTCGCCCGGGATCGAACCCGGGACCACAGGATCACAAGTCCAGCGTGCTGTCCGCTCGGCCGACCGGCTCCCTGAGTATCCTGTCCGATACTCAGAACATTCTTTCGTGTGTTGAGGCATCAGTGATTGTTGAAGATT